TTTGTATTTTTAGTACAGACGGGGTTTCACCATGTTGACCAGGATGGTCTCGATCTCTTGACCTCGTGATCCACCCGCCTTGGCCTCCCAAAGTGCTGGGATTACAGGCGTGAGCCACCACACCCAGCCTTAATCTGTTCTTATAATGCAGAGTGATCTATGCCATTGGAAAGGCATATACACGATGTTATAAGAGCAAAGAAAAGGGGCTTAGCCATCAGACTGGTCAATAAGGGATGACTTTCTGTAGGAACAGATGTTTTAGCTGCTGAGTATGGAAAGATGAACTGTTGCTGTCTAGATGGAAGGAAGGCCAGAGGTGGAAATCTAGAAAGCATGGTCAAAGGTGTGGAGGTATGAAAATGGGGGCATTGTTATAGGGATGCATGGACTGGAGTGAAGGATGCTTGTGAGGTAAGGACACTGTGGATTGTGCTAAGGAATTTCAACTCTATCTAGAAAGCTCTTTGAGGCCACTGAGTGACATCAGTTAGAGGAGTTACCTCATCAGGAACTCATCAGCTTGGCCTTTTGAAAAGAATGCTATGACAGTAAAGAAGATGGACAGATGGAAGGTTGGTTAGATTATGAAAAAGGATTACTTTTTCATAAAGAGGTACTTTTTCAAAAGAGAGTACTGGCCAAAGAAATAGGTAATGGGGAATGGATAGAGGAGTCCTGAAGCCTTAGCATCTATTATATAGGCTTTAGTGACCACGTAAGTGTGGGGTTTGGGTGATAAACGAGTTTATACATAGATTTGGATATAGAGGTCTGGGGCTCAAAAGAGACGTCTGAGCTGAAGATATAAATATTATAATCACTAGCAAGTAAATGGTGGCTCAGGCCACAGGTTTAGATGAGGTTACTCAGTAGAGTGACAGTGAAGCAAGCAGAGCAGTTGGGATGGAAGCCCCAGGGAACTACAGCATCAAGTTAGGAGGGAAATAAGGAGACTGTGGTGTCGGGGATGGAGAGGTATTTAAAGAAGAAGGAGTAATCAACAGTAACAAAGAAAATAGAGGGCTAGGGACCAAGTGCAGTGGCTCTCACCTGTAATCCTAGCACTTTGGGAGGCTGAGAAGGGCAGATCACTTGAGGCCAGGAGATTGAGAACAGCCTTACCCACATGGTGAAACCCCTTCTCTGCTAAAAATATAAAAATTAGCTGGATGTGGTGACATGTGCCTGTAGTTACAGCTACTCAGGAGGCGGAGACAGGAGTATCTCTTTGAATCCAGGAGGCAGAGGTTGCAGTGAGCCAAGATTGCGCCACTACACTCCAGCCTGTGTGTCAGAGTGAGACCCTGTCTCAAAAAGAAGAAAAAATGGAGGATTAGTACAATGAATCCAAGAAAAGGGCCCACTGGATTTGGCAATGACAGGTTACTGGAGACCTTTAGAACCAGAGCTATCTTGATAAAGCGGTGGTGGTAGATGCCAGATTGCAGAAGAGAAAAGAAGTCACTGCTTAAAGGAGCTCTTTGTATGAAAAAGGCTATTGTAAATCTCTGGATAGTTTAAGTTTCATGTAGCTGACATTTTGAATATCTTGAGCTAAGCTAAACCTAAAGGTAAAAGAATGAGTCATGTTTAAACATTACAACATTACTTTAACTGCCTTGTTTCTTCTCATTTCTTGTAGGGTTTAGCGCTGGTGGATAGACACTCAAGACCAGAAATCATATTTTTGCTGAAAGTAGATGATTTACCTGAGGATAATCAGGGACGTTTTAATAGTCTTTTCTCTCTAAGAGAGAAGTGGACAGAAGAAGATATTGCTCCATATATTGAGTAAGTAATTTATTAAAGATGGATTTTGAGGGTTGTTCTTTTTATAAAGAGTGGCATAGCATTTTAGATTTATGATCGGAATACAGTTTTCTTGAGTATTCCCTGAGGATACTGCTTCCCTAGAAACACCCTTAGGTGGTGGCTGTATTCTCTATGCTTCACAGTGACTGATGCTGGAGGTGGAATATGTGTTATCTCTGTTCCTCAATACTGCTTCTGAAACCCCTTTTCTGCTCTCATTCCTGGAAAACTGTCCCCTTTGAGGGACAAAATACATACCCCACTATAACTCTAAGGCAAACACCTCTCTCTCATTGCCACCTCATGCTTTACTTTATTTAACATTATGGATGTTAGAACAAGTTAGCCCCAAAGTCACTTCTTACAAAATCTTGAGTCCCCTAACACTTAAAATCCACTAACACTACAGCTTTTTCACCGTGTCACACCTCTCAGTTGCTCTCTTCTCTTTAGCCAGCTCGAATCCCATGGTCAGTCTTCCTAGCTTTTACTGTCTACACTTTACTCCTATGACCCTCTCCCTCTTGCCATATCTCCCTGGCAAAAAGCTAAAAAGATTAAACCCAACTTTCTGCTTACTCTGTGCCTACACCTGGCCAGCTGAAACTTTCTGGAGAATATACAATGAGCTGTCAGCATGGAGCTTCTTCTACATCTATGCATTTTCCTTTTTCCTACCAGTAGTACCTTCTGTTTCCTTTTATGATCTTATTTTTTCAGAACACAGAAGCACTGAGACCAGAACTACCTTCTTTCCCACTGCCAAATCGCCCATCCTCCTCATGTGTGTGCATACTTCCTTTGCAGTCCTGTGTGGTGAAAGAATTGTCCCTGCTCCTAAGGCCAGTCCTTTGCAATAGATCCATCTCCTCTGTTGTCTTAAAGACTTGGATCCTCGAGTTATTAATGTCCCTTTCACCCTTCGTGTTATTAATGTCTGCCTCTTCTGAATCATCCCCATCAGCATACAAAATTCTATAATATTGCCCATCTTGAAAAACAATAGCAACCTACTAGACCCTGCGTCCTTTGCTCTCCTTTATAAGAAAATGCCTTTTACAAGTTTCATATACTCACTCTATGCATTTCACCTCCCATTCTTTCCTTTACCCATTGACATCTTCTTAATCCAATTACAACCATCTTTCTGCACTCAGTGGTTAATTATGTGTCCTCGATTACTTGGGCACTATTTGACAGTGTCTGCTTCCTCCTACTGAAAACACAAGTTTCTCCCCTCTTCCTTGGAGGAGGGGGAGAAAACCATCTCTTTTGTTGATGTCTCCCCATTCTCAATCTTTAAATGTTGGAGTGCTCCAGGACACTAGTTTTGGGCCATCTTCTCTTCTATTTATACTTTTCCTTTGGTGCCCTAATCTGGGCCTGGAAACAAATTTAATGACTTCCTAATTTCATCTTCATACTTACCATTTTCCCTGAGGTCCAGATTCCTGTATCTGGTTGCCTAATTCACCTTTCCAGTTGGATATTCAATAGAAATTTCAAGCTTACCGGGTTCATAACAGAACTGTTGTTTCTCCCTCATCCTTACCCCCCTTCTTCTTAATCACAGTTAACAGCACTGCTACTAATGCAGTTACTTAAACCAAAATCTAGGAATCATCCCTGTCCTTTCCTTCTCCCACCTTCTGGTTCAAACTATGACCAAATCCTGATGGATCATCTTGTACCTGCCTCTGAATTGGTCTCCCTGTTCTATTTTTACCCCTCCCCCTCTTTCCTGTTTATACTGTTTCTTTAAATATTCAAAAGTGACAATATAATGAAACCTTCATATATCCACTGCCCAGCTTTCATAATCATCAACTCATTGGCTCCTTTATTTTTATTTATTTATTTATTTATTTATTTGACATGGAGTCTCACTCTGTCACCCAGGTTGGAGAGCAGTGGTGCAATCTCCGCTCACTGCAACCCCTGCCTCCCAGGTTCAAGTGATTCTCCTGCCTTACCCCGCCGAGTAACTGGGATTACAGGTGTGTGCCACCATGCCCAGCTAATTTTTGTGTTTTTAGTGGAGACGGGATTTCACCATGTTGGCCATGTTGGTCTCAAACTCCTGACCTCAAGTGATCTGCCTGCCTTGGTCTCCCGAAGTGCTGGGATTACAGGCGAGAGCCACTGTCCCTGGCCAACTCCATTATTTAAAACGTAGATCACATTGTGCTTTTCTATTAATTAAAACCCTCCTATTGGCTTCCCATTACATGCAGAATTCAGTCACAACTCTCTTTCCCTGTCCTACAAGGCTCTGCGTGATCTGGTGTTGCTCCCTTCTCCAGCTCATGTCCTGCTTTTCGTCCCTCCCCTCATTATGTTCCAGTCAGAATCTTCTCCTTGAGGTACAGAAGAGGAAACTAAAGTTCAGGGAAGAGTTGGTAACCGAGACAAGTTCACACAAGTACCTTGTATCAACGATCTCTGACTCTAGGCCGCGCTGTACAGGACTCACTGTATCACACTGCTTTTATTTCTAATTTAGAGGCTGTGTGATAAAATGGAAATAGCATAGACTTTGAAGTCATACACACCTGGCGGCAGAATTTGACACTGTCATTTATTACTTGTCTGAACTATAGTTCCTCATGTATAATACAAGGTTAAATAATACATTACTCCTACTTTGTGTGGGTTAAATGAGATAATACATGTAATGTACTTAGTTTAATTAAAACTTAGAACTGGCCGGCCACAATGGATCACGCCTGTAATCCCAGCACTTTGGGAGGCCGAGGTGGGTGGATCAAGAAGTCAGGAATTTGAGACCAGACTGGCCAACATGGTGAAACCTCATCTTTACTGAAAATACAAAAAAATCAGCCAGGCGTGGTGGCATGTACCTGTAATCCCAGCTACTCAGAAGGCTGAGGCCAAAGAATTGTTTGAACAATGAGCCAAGATTGCACCATTGCATTCCAGCCTGGGTGACACAGCAAGACTCCATCTCAAAAAAGAAAGAAAAAAACTTAGAACCACTCCCCACCCTCTCTCTTAGACAAACACCTACACTTATGCTGTTGAGAGGATAGATTCAGGGGAAGAGAGATAAAGTACATAGTACTGTATCATATTATAATGTTCCCTAAAATATTCATGCTATGTATTTTTTATTGTCCCCACAGAGATTTGTGTGGAGAGAAGCAAACCATAGGTGCATTACTCACCAAATATTCTCATTCTTCGATGCAAAATGGTGTAAAAGTTTATAATTCGAGAAGACCCATTTCTTAAAAGAACAACAGTCTTTTCTTCGGGACTCAAGTTGCTTTATAAAGTTGCTGGAAACAAGAAAAATAACTTTTATTTTGGACTTTTAAAAACCTAGTCTTCTAAGACATTTTTCTCCTCATCTTAAGCATTTTGAAACTACTGTTATTTCTTATATGTTATTGGATGTAGCTTTCAAATTATATTTGTACCCTGTACACAGTGTAAACAAGAGCAAAAGAAAGTATTATTTCCTGTGTTTAGTATGTCTGAGGTCTCTATGGTTTACTTAGAGTTTGGCTTTTTATATTTAAAATGTCATTTCTTCAATTAGGATTTGATATTTTAATCATTAATACATTGAAGTTTTTCAGAGAACTAAATAGTAATAGTTTCATAGAAGAGACTTATTTATTCACTTAAATATCATTTCTCAAGGGAGTTCCCTTTTACTTTTAGCCTTCCACCCAAACTGGCAGTCACTAGGTGCTATCAGTTATTTATATTTAGTTTACATACATGAAACTGGCTGAATAATTTCTCCTCTGTTTGCCCGACATAGACATGCACTTTGGGAAAAAATGGGTTTATAATTCTATAATGAAGAATACTGGCACAGGTAATACTTGAAAACTTCAAGTAATTTCTAGTTGGTTTTGGAATGCTTGCTGAAGTTCCTTTATAGCTTTATTTGCCCGATTTGTTTTGGTTTAGATCGAAGTTCAAATTAATTTTAACTTAGCTAATGAACTTGTTACCAGGAGAGTTGGAGGGGGTAGGCCAAGGTTAAATGGTCCAAGTTTCAAAAATGTTAATTTATAATCTGTAGTTAATTAAGCAAGATTTAACTGTTACCGAAGTTTACAAGTTTTATTCTCACAAACATGAATTACGACACGATGGTAAATGTCTCTGCATTTATGTGGATTTAGGTTATACACATACAGTCTATCTATATGTAGTCTATTTATTTATTTATTTTGAGATGGAATCTCCTGCTGTCCAGGCTGGAGTGCAGTGGCACTATCTCAGCTCACTGCAACCTCCACCTCCCGGGTTCAGGTGATTCTTCTGCCTCAGCCTCCAGAGTAGCTGGGATTACAGGCACACGCCACAACTCCCAGCTAGTTTTTGTATTTTTATTAGAGACTGGCTCTCACCATGTTGGCCAGGCTGGTCTTGAACTCGTTTCCTCAAGTGATCCGCCTTCCTTGGCTTCCCAAAGTGCTGGGATTACAGGCATGAGCCACCGCGCCTGGCCTGTAGTCTATATTTTATTTTATTTTTTTGTGAGACAGTCTCACTCTGTTGCCCAGGATTGAGTACAGTGGAATGATCTCGGCTCACTGCAACTTCCGTCTCCTGGGTTCAAGCAATTCTCCTGCCCAGCCTCCCGAGTAGCTAGTATTATAGGCGTACACCACCACGCCAGGCTAATTGTATATACTTTTTAGTAAAGACGGCGTTTCACCACGTTGGCCAGGCTGGTCTCGAACCCCTGACCTCAAATGATCCGCCTGCCTCGGCCTCCGAAAGCGCTGGGATTACAGGCGTGAGTCACAACGCCCGGCCTTGTAGTCTATATTTTAAAATAAATACTACTAAGGCAGCAGTGCCTAGTGAGAGCTTTGGAGTGCTGGAGTTTTGACATTCAGACTACCTGGAGTCTAATCACATATTTTACAGCTTAAATCACCGGACCTAGTAAGTTTATGGTATCTGTTCTCACAGCAAGCCAGAGGCAGCCCCTCCTGATTTCGGGGGACTTCACACCACTCCATCAGCCCCGTTTCGAGCACCCTGCGGCAGCCTGTTTCTACCTGGCTCGTTGCAAACTTTATCCTCCATTCTTCTCAATGTGCTCGTACTAGAAAACTTTACCTTCCCTCCTTTCCTTCCTGCTCTTCTCGCCTCACCCACTAGTTTCCTCGCTTTCCTAAATGTTAATTTTCACCCACCGTGTGATTTGGAAAAGGTAAGCGCAAATATGCTGGTATCGCAAGCCCTGCCCATTGGCAAGACTTCCTGGTTCTACCCCCGCCGTCGTTCCGCTTCCGCTGACGTCGGAGGTCAGAGGTTACAGACAAGATGTCTGCTTAGGGTCGCTTTGAGCACTTGCGGAGAGGAGCACCTCTGGGACGGAAGCTTGTCGATGGCGGCTTATAGGAGTTAGGTCGAAGGAGCGAGGTTGAGGCGGTAGCCGGGAGGCCAGCCGGCTGCGGGACGTGACTTTTGGGGAACGCAGGGGAATGGGGAGTATGAAGTGCATTGACCAGTAATGCCCGGTACTCCCCAGGGAAGCCGGGAAGCCAAACTCCGCGGGACTGCTTCATGCCGCCGTCTGGTTTAGAGCCCACCAGAATGAACAGGAAGAAAGGAGACAAGGGCTTTGAAAGCCCAAGGCCATATAAATTATAAGTATTTTTTCATTTCCCTTCCTTTTCGTTTTGTTGCCATTTACTATATATTGTGATTGCTTGAAACTGACTTGGTGGGCCTGGGAAACCTAGTGGGAAAACTAGCATTTACTTATTGTGATAGAAATGGTGTTTGTACGGGAAAAAAAGGTTTTGAATAACAGCGTTATTCAGCAAATTTAATTCTCGTTGCAGGTTACTAAAGTTTTTTTCTAAGAATTGTAGCAGATCGTATTTCTGTCAAATCTGTTTTCATGACTGTTGCCAGATTTTAAAAAATTATTCCAATTCGCAGCGCGTTTTTTGTTTTTTTTTGTTTTTTGTTTTTTGACAGAGTCTTGCCCTTTCGCCCAGGCTGGAGTGCAGCGGCGCTATCTAGGCCCACTGCAACCTCCACCTCCTGGGTTGAAGCTTTTCTCTTGCCTTGCCTCAGCCTGCTGAGTAGCCAGGATTACAGGCATGTGCCACCACGCCAGGCTAATTTTTGTATTTTTAGTAGAGACGGGGTTTCACTGTGTTGGCCAGGCTGGTCTCCAACTCCTGACCTTGTGATCTGCTCGCCTCTACCTCCCAAAGTGTTGAGATTACAGGGTGAGCCACTGCTCCCTACCCCAGTTCATAGAGTTTTAAAATAAAATGAAATATTGTCATGTAATTTTGAATTACCTAGAACATAGCCCTAATTTATACCTGGATAGAATCATACTTTCATTTAATAATAGAATTTATTTTTTTTCCTTGTTTTCTTTTTATGTTTATTAATGTACAACCCATCAGGTCGTCTGCATCAACAACATAAATTTCCAGAGAAAATCGGTTGTGGTAAGTTTACTCTCAACAATTATAAACAGTAACAAGTCCACCCTCTCAGAGTTCTTAGGAAGTTAATACTCTTCCAGATAATTGTGTTTCAAGAACAGGTAAGAATTGAAATTCAGGTCTATATGATTACAAGTTTTATAGACATTCCACTAATACCTGTCACCTCCCAAATTCTTTCTTTGTTTTTTTTCAATTTCCTAATTAAAATTTTATTCTTCTTTATCTGATATATAACATGAAAGCATGTATAGCCAAACATTTTAGAATTGTGCATGAAACAAGTGTAAGCCCATAGTGACATTTCTTCTATGAAAAAACTTAAGATTAATACACTCACTGATTTAGCTTCTAAGAGGCCACTTTTGCTTCTTGACTGACTTGGTTTAGGTGGTGTTGCTTTGTAGTGAAGTTTTAGACACAGTATTTGAGATCTAGAAACCCTCTACATCCCCCTCCCCACCCCTGCCACACACAATTTAGATGTATGGCTTGCTGATATTATCAATTTTAGGAAAAAGCTTTGAACATTCAAGGATTTTTGTTTTTTTGTTTTTTGAGACAAGAGTCTTGCTCTGTCACCCAGACTGGAGTACACTGCTGTGATCTTGGCTCTCTGCAGCCTCCACCTTCGGGTTCAAGCAATTCTCCTACGTCAGCCTCCTGAGTAGCTTGAATTACAGGTGTGCACCACGACACTCAGCTTATTTTTGTATTTTTAGTGGAGTCAGCGTTTCTCCTTGTTGGCCAGGCTGGTCTCGAACTCCTGACCTCAAATGATCCACCTGCCTTCTGCCTCCCAAGGTGCTGGGATTATAGGCATGAACTACTGCATCCAGCCGAAAACTGAAGTATTTATTTAATTTACTTTTTTAGGGCTACCTGTATTACATAGACTAAAATGTTAATGAGAGCTGGTTTTCCTTGAGTGATAGTATCAACTTCTCTGTCAGATTTGTTACCTGTGTATGTATATGTTTACTTAGGATGAGCTGAATAGACAGAAAAATGTCACTTTTCATAAGGATCATAGAATTTTAGATTTGTAATGTGCCTAAAAGGTTTATTAAATCTAATCTCCTCATTTATGGAATTTCTCATGCAGTCTTCCTTATGTTATGTACCTTGTGTCATATAGTAGGATACTTTAGTTGTATTATGTTGTATGAATTGGGTAGAAAAGTTAAGGGAATTAGGGAGTCTAGTTCAGAGGTTACTGCAGTAATCTAGAGGGGAAATGGTGAAGGCCTAAATAAAGATAGCATTAGTAAAAATGGAGTAGAAATAGAGTTGACATGATTGAATTAGTGAACATAAATTTAGCCATTAATATATGTAAGATATCTTCTTATGTATATTAATATATATATTCTTACATATATTATTTATATGTATATATTCTTATATATTAAGACTCAATCTTCATAATTACTTTGTGAGGTAGATAATATTTTAATCCTAATATTCTATATTAGGCAGCTGAAAGAATGAAGGTTAAGTAACTTTTTTAAGGGCATAAAGTTGGAAAATGATGAAACCCTGTTTAATCAGGGATGACGTAAGAGTCCAGTGCTCTTCATATAGTATTCCCCTTTCCAACTCTGTGGTCCCTGAGGAATCAATAGACAGAAGTTGCACATGGCTTTTTCAGGACTGCTATGACAGAATTGTGGATGACTTAAGTTTCCCATTGGAAACTTTGGTTGGATTGGGTGTGAGTTAGGATCTTGGCAGGAAATAAATGGCAGATACACACATGTTAATTGAGGGAAATGAACGGACCATTTAGAACAAAGTTAAGGGAAACCAACATGAGGTGGAGGAACCCTCTGAGCTAGCAGCAGTGAGGAACAATTGCCACTTCTAGGTCTGAAACAACAAAGGGAAGAAGTTACTAGAACCTACTGTCACCATGGAAAGAGTCACATAGGATCTGTGTCTTTTAATAAAAGAATGAAGCTACTGCTTATTTGCAGCCTGGCAGAAAGAAATCTGGGGTAATTAATATAAACTTGCTTTCCTTCTGCTTTCCAGTTTCCTTTTTGTGGAAACTGTTGGACCAACTCAGTCAAAAGCTGGAAGGGTAGAGCCCAGTTAAAGCAACTCCTAGGGTATTGAGCAGGGTAGAGAACAGATCAGGAGGGGCAAAAGGAGACTAATCAGAACAAACTACGTTTTAAACCCCAGCACATCCACTGTTGCTTTTGTTGAGATGAAAAGCTAGTGTTCCCAATGTGGGACTTAGAAAGTCCTATGAGCCACTGAAAGAATTGGCAATGGCTGAAAACTTGTTTTTTAAGTGATATGTTACTTGAACACAGCCATACCCATTTATTTATATATTGACTATGGAGGTTTTGGAGCTACACTGGCAGAGTTGAGTAGCTGAGACAGTGACTGTGTGACCCACAAAGCCTAAAATATTTCTGTCTGGCCCTTTAAGAGAGGGTTTGCTAAACCCTGAGCTATTCTATTAGTGTGAGAAATGACATTTCAGCCCTGTTCCCACCCTGGCCAAAGTTGATACACACTGCATTATTTTCCACCCCTTTGGTATTTCCTTTTCCTTCTGCTGACATTTCTGTTGGGATGAACTAGACTCTTGTTTTTTTTTTTTTTTTTGAGACGGAGTCTTGCTCTGTCACCAGGCTGGAGTGCAGTGGCACAATCTTGGCTCACTGCAACCTCCGTCTCCTGGGTTCAAGTGATCCTTCCGCCTCAGCCTCCCGAGTAGCTGGGACTACAGGCATGTGCTACCGCACCTGGCTAATTTTTTTTGTATTTTAAGTAGAGACGGGGTTTCACCGTGTTGGCCAGGATGGTCTCGATCTCTTGACCTCGTGATCCACCCACCTCAGCCTCCCAAAGTGCTGGGATTACAGGCGTGAGCCACCGTGCCCGGCCTAGACTATTGTTTTTTAGGACCTTCACTGCTATTTTCACTGTTGTTTCTCTTGTCTTTATTGGCTTGTTGTTTCTATTGCCTAGGACTGTTAGTCAGGGGGATCTGAGAGGCATCTCCAGGAACCCCCTTGATTCCAGATGTAATACTTGTCCTTATTGTGTAGCGAAGCTTTAATTTGTTATTTGGTAATTGCAATGATTAATTCCAGCCGGAACTAGACCTCTTTCTTTGCTTTTTGCTTCTTTGAGATGAGGAGCTCAAGGTGGTCAAGGGGCAGCCTCAACTTCCAATGTAATGGAATCATGATTATGTGCCCTGGTAGCTGCGTTCTTCCCTTGGGCACTAGGACCTCTCAACAGACTGAACCCAGGGTCACAGAGACATGAGACAAAAATTCCTTCCATGGCTGGGCACTGTGGCTCACACCTGTAATCCCAGCACTTTGGGAGGCTGAGGTGGGTTGATTACCTGAGGTCAGGAGTTCAAGACTACCCTTGCCAACATGGTAAAACCCTGTCTTTACTGAAAATACAAAAAATTAGCTGGACGTGGTGGCAGATGCCTGTAATCCCAGTTACTCAGGAGGCTGAGGCAGGAGAATCACTTGAACCTGGGAGGTGGAGGTTGCAGTGAGCCGAGATTGTGCCATTGCACTCCAGCCTGAGCAACAAGAGCAAATCTCCGTCTTGGAAAAAAAAAAAAATTCTTCCATGGCATTTTTAGTGTAATAGTGAGAATAGTCACTCCAGCTTTGACCCCCAGGTTCCCAGTTCTGTTTTGGCTAGGAGAGAGAATCCTATATGTTGTCTACTAATTTAAGGCAGCCTCCTATAGGAGATTTTTTGATTGTTGCTGTTACTGAGTCTTCAGCAATTGATCATGCCATCTACTTCTGTATGATAGGGTACAAGATAAAATGCATAAGTTTAAACAAACGGTTATTGTATTTTCTGTGTGTGGAAGAGAAGGGCAGCAGGTTTGAGAGGAAAGATTCATAGGTCAGATTAGAAAATGTTACATTTCATGTACTTTTGGGTTATTAAATTGAGATGAATAGTGGGTAATTGGCTACATGTCTGTGCAGTTAAAGAATGAGATGATGAGAGAGATTTAAAAGCCTTTGATATACAGTTGTTCATGAAGGGTGTAGAAAAGCTCACTTAGAGTATCTAGCAGGAAATGAGCATCTGGGAGAAATATATGAAGTATATGATGTTGGAGAAAACTGACCAGGAGCCACTTGGGCTGTAGAAACCAAGGAAAAACTTTTTTTTTTTTTTGAGACAGGATCTCACTGTCACCTAGGCTGGAGTGCAGTGGCACAATCATAGTTCACTGCAGCCTCAGCCTCCCTGGGTGCAGGTAGTTAACCCACTTCAGCCTTCTGAGTAGCTGGGACCACAGTCATGCACCACCCCTGCCTGGCTAATTTTTGTATTTTTTGGTAGAGATGGAGTTTTGCCATGTTGCCTGACTGGCCTCAAACTCCTGGGCTTAAGCAATCCACCCTACTTCGGCCTTCCAAAGTGCTGGGATTACAGGTATAAGCCATCACACCTGGCCAAAAAACATGTTTTAAGAAGGAAGAGGCTAGGTGCAGTGTGGCCCATGCCTGAATGCCCAGCACTTTGGGAGGCCGAGGCAGGTGGATCACCTGAGGTCAGGAGTTTGAGACCAGACTGGCCAATGTGCTGAAACCCTGTCTCTATTAACAATACAAAACAATTAGCCAGGCGTGGTGGTGGACATAATTCCAGCTACTCGGGAGGCTAAGTCAGGAGAGTCACTGGAACCCAGGAGGCAGAAAGTGCAGTGAGCCGAGATTGTGTCACTGCACTCCAGCCTGGGCATCAGGAGTGAAACTCCATCTCAAAAAAAAAAAGGAGGAAATGGTTGTTCATTTTAAATGTAAACAGTAAGTGTAAACTTGAAAACAAAGTAATTCTTGGTCATTAGTGACTACAGCAAGGGTAATGTATTAGTCAATTTTCATATTGCTGATAAAGACATACCTGAATCTGGGCAATTTACAAAGGAAAGAGGTTTAATAGGGAACTCAGAGTTCCACGTGGCTGGGGAAACCTCACAATAATGGCGG